AGCACACAGAGGAAAGGTCCCCTAGTGGAGGCCTCTTGAAGCGTCTTGGGGGCCTCTTGGCGGTCCCGGACGCCTCTTAGAGCGTATTGGGTGCCTCGGAGAGCTTCTTGGTTCTTGGGGCCTCTTGGGGGTCTCTTGGGGGCCTCTTGGAGGCTTCTTGGGCGCCTGTTGGGCCTCCCGGGGCCTCCTGGGCGCCTCTTGGGGCCCTCTTGAAGCGCTCTTGGGAGCCTTGGGAGCGCTCTTGGAGCCCTCTTGGGCCATATTGGAGCCATCTTGAGGCCTCGGCAAGAAAGCTAAAAACATTAATTTTCCAATGGTTCTGGAAGTATTTGGGCCTCTTCGGGACTTCCTGGGGGAGCTCTTTGGCCACTTGGAGCCGTCTTGGAGCGGTCTTGGGGCCTCTTCGAGCATCGCGGGAGCCATCTTGAGGCATACTGGGATATCGTGAGCCATATTGGAGGTCACCTTGGGCTCTCCCAGGCGCTCTTGGAGTCATCTGGAGTCATCTGGAGGCACTGTCGCCGAGGCCTCTTGGAGCGTCTTGGGTGCCTCTGAGGGGCCTCTTGGGGCCTCTTGGGGATCTCTTAGGAGCCTTTTGGGGGCATCCTGTGGGCCTCTTGGGGGCCTCTTGGGGGCTCCTGGCCACCTCTTGGGGTCCTTTTGGGGCACCCTTGGGAGCCTTGGGAGCGCTCGTGGGGCCATCTCGGAGGAGATCATAGAAGGGGGGTTCCTTACTTAGCGCAGCCCCCCCAAGAGGCCAAAATGGGGCCAAATCCATAGTAAAACCATTGATTTTGGCTTCCTCGCCGAGGCCGTGTTGGACGCCCTGACCGCTCGCGGGGCGCCCTGTCCAGATCCAGGGGAGAGGGTAGAGGGAGGGGTACCCCCCCCGAAAGGGAAGAAGGGAGGTGGAAGAGGAAACGCTCTAGACCACCAACGCCCAGAGGGCTGGTGGGATTCCGCATTGTCCACCTCGTCGTCCTCATGCTCTTCTTCCGTCCTGTCCCCGCCAATTGCAGCCACAAGCTTCGCACGCCTACAGAGGTGCGCGCCCACAAAGAGTCGCGCACTTTGGGCATCAACACAAGGATGGGTTTGCCAGCGCCAGCCCGTACGTGGGCATACTGCTAGGTTGGTCGGCAGGCTTGCGGGCTCCTGGTCGAGTTTTCTGTGGTTTCCTGTGGCCCGTGTGGACACGCGTCCTAGCGGCCGCTGTTGAATATGGCAACATGTAGCACGATGCCCTACTTTATCGAAAATACATGTGTGCACTGTTATAGATGTGTATCGTGTTTTCCTCGTGATGCTCCTCTACACCATCATCACCAGCATCAGCGTCATCAGCATCATCTTCAGCATCATCATCGTATTCATCAACATATTCATCACCAGCATCACCCTCATCATAGTCATGCACATCATCACCATCATCACCATCACCGTCATCATCATCATCATCATCAGCATCAGCATCAGCATCATCATCAGCATCATCATCATCATCCTCATCATCGTCATCGTTATCGTCATCGTCATCGTCATCACCATCACCATTATTCTCATCCTACGCATCATCATCACCATCATCATCATCATCACCATCACCATCATCATCATCATCATCATCATCATCATCATCATCATCATCATCATCATCATCATCATCATTATCATTATCATGATCACCATCATCAACATTATTATCATCATCATCATCAACATCATCATCATCATCATCACCATCATCATCATCATCATCGTCATCATCATCCTTCCCTGTCGAACTCCGTATCCTCACGTCCATTTCCCTCGTGTTCCTCATGCTCCTCTGTTCTTCCTTTCCCACGCTCTCCTCGCCCACCCCGTTCGTCAGCCTCCTGTTCTTCCTCGGCTCCTCTGGAGGTCCCTGGAGGCCCCCTCGGAGGTGCTCGCAGGTGGCAGGCGCGGGGGACCTCCAGGTGCTCCGGTGGCACGTGCTCGGCGCGAGTGGGCAGCTGCATGAGGATCGGGTGTCGCCAGGGGTGTCCCCCGGCCCGAGGTGTTTGGCCCGCGGCCCCTTCCTGACCACTCCTCGCGGGGCGCATGCGGACCGTGATGGCGTTGAGGCTTTTCTGCACACTGCAGCTACAGTCCATAATCTTGCGCCCTGTGGAGGCGCTTCTTTCGAGGTTTGACTCCGCGCACTCTGACGAGACCTTGCGGCCGAACCCCTACGAGGTGCACTACGGCGCATGTTCCTGCGACTTCCGGCAGCTGGAGTGCCTGCCCTCGGCAGATTGCCTGCGCGCGGTCCGGGCCGCCTCGGACGAGCTGATCTCGGGCGGTGTCGCTGCGAGGCAGGCGCTGAAGAGGAAGTACCGGTTCGATCACGAGGCCGTCGGGCAGCCCTTTTTCGTCTCGGGCGGGTGGTATAATGGGGGGGGGACCTAAGTGGGGGGTGAAGGGAAGGGCCCCAACGGGGCACTTTAGGGCCACTTTTGGAGCCAGCAGGGGCTTGTTTGCCCTTTTTTTCACCCCCATGGTTAGGACCCCCCCCCAGTACCACCAGCCCGATCGTCCTCCGGGGCCACCCCCTGGGGAAGTTGATCACGTTCGCGGCGATCAGCAATTGGCGGAGGTGGGCCGCCGGGGCGGACATGACGCAGTCCTTCCCGGGCCACGCGTACAGCAAATACATCGACCCGAAACGCTATCCCGACTGCATCAACCGGAGTTTGATTGGCTCCGCGTGCTTCTGGCAGCCGTTCGACGCAGCCGAGGACCTCGACGAAATCGAAGAGCAGGCCGTGCATCGAAGAGGCCAGCAGGATGGTGTCGCTGGCGCAGATTTCGAGCAGTTCCGGCTGAACGTGGCGTCGGCGATCGTGCCTGGGACCCACGAGCAGAACGACGATATTCTGAATTCACTTCCTGCAGATCAGTATTTGCTCTCCGTCGCACACATCGCCCGTATTCAGTTCAACATGCAGCCATCTTTGCGGGATGCCTACAAGAAGTACAGGTCTGTTGTCAATCCTGGCGTCGGCCAGCTGAGAGTGGGTGTGCATATCAGGAGATCCGACTCTTGCAGCGAATTGGTCCGCGACGGGTACAAAATGGAGGCGTCGAAGATTGACGCAGGCCCCCAAATGACAAACGTGCGCTTGTGCTACCACACGCAGGTATATATCAATGGGCTGCGCCGCGTCAAGAACCTCTATGGCTTGCCTCTGGCAGTCTACTTGTCCTCGGACGACCCCGGCTCCATTCTGGACGAGATCAGGGCACTGAGTCCCGACCTGTTTGAGAGCAGCTCCTGGCATCACGTGAAGTTCGCGCCGGATGCGCAGGAGTCCCTCGGGTACAACAAGCACACGGGCCTGACCGTTGAGTTCCAGGACGACGCCACGTCGGCGCTGATCGGGGAGACGGCGGCCCTCGACGCGTGGCACCTCAGCCACAGCGAGGTCTTCATCGGGTCCATCGGGTCTCGCTTCGGGAAGAGCGCGTACCTCCTCGCCGTCTCGCGGCGCAACGTCGTGGTCCCGTACATCTCCGTCGACGGCCACAGCTATTGCTGCCAGAACGACGAGCAGTGCTCCCTTGCGACCGAGGCCCTCACGGGCATGGCCGACTGCTTGCTGTTCGCTCCCGAGATCGACTTCCTGACGCCGAACAAGAGGGGCACCTACTGGGAGGACGGCGTCACGATCCGCCACGACAGGCCCGTCTCCGAGAGGCGGCCCCTGTGGCCAGCCGCCTCCCCCCACGCGTTGGAGCCTGCTCTGTCTTGAGCCGCTGGTCTGGCCCCGGGCCCGGCCTGAGTGATGATCGGCGGCGAGCGAGGGGGGGGGAGTGAGAAGGAGAAGGCCTTCTCAGAAGGTTCAGAAGTCCCCCGGCCTTCTGAGCTGACAATCCCCCGAAGGCAAAACAACAACTTCTTGGAAGGCGGAGGGCTTCTGAGAAGTCCCGGCGCCTCCCGAGAAGGCCTTCTCCTTCTCTCAGTTCCCCCCCTCCCCCTCGCTCGCCGCCGAGCTCCGTCTCGACCCGCTGGGCTGGCCCACGGCCCCGCCTGAGTAAGGACCCCAGGGCGGCCGCTGAGGTTCGCCCCGCCGGGCTGAGGAGGCCGAGCTGGCGGAGGAGGCCGAGAGCTGGTCCCAGACATGTTCGCGTCGTAACAAATCAGGACGGGAGGTGTTTGGACATTGTATGGAAAAAGAGGACGTCGCATGTCTCAAGCAGTGGCGAAGCGTCCTGGCTCGCCTATAGCCCTACCAAATAATGTTCTAAGAACCTTTTGTGGTTTCCACGAAATTTTCTTAGAACATTTCTGGCGGAGTCTGTCTTGTTTTATCACATCGGGCTTATGTTCTAAGAACATGGTTTTTGGTATTAGAACATTCCTGGGTTCTAAGAACATTTCGTGGTAGGACTATAGGAATGCCGGGACGGTCGGTCCCTGCTCAAATGTCTGGGGCCGGATGGTCCTCGTCGTCTTCTTGTCCCAGACATGCGACGCCCCGATGTTTTCCATACGGGGTCCCTGGAAGTCCCGACCCTTTCCCCAGGACCGGTTTTTCATACCGAGTCGTTTCTTGACGGTCCCGAGGCCCTACGAGGACCCCCGGAGGCCGAAAATGGCCAAACATTTCCCGCCCGGATGTTTTTTTTCACGACGCGATCACGCCTGGTGATGAGCCTGTTTTCCACCACCACCAGAAGTTGGAGGGGGGAAGGAGGAGAGCAAGGAGGAGGAGGAGGAGGAGGATAAAAAGGAGGAGGATGAGGAAGAGGACGAGGAGGAGGAGGACCCCCCCTCCAACTTATGGTGGTGGTGGTGGAAAACGCGCCCATCATCTGGGGGTTGTTGCCTCTCGTGCTTCTCCGTGCTCCTGTGCTGCGCGCTGCGCCCTCCGCGTGCTCCTCTCTGCGCGCGGCCGCCCGGCCTGCCGCCGCACAGCCCCGCCCGCCTCGCCCTGGGCCTGCTGCCTTGTTGGATGGCCGCAGTGCGCCCCGCGTTGAAAACATCAGGACGTCGCAGGTCTGGGCTCGGGAGGCCCTCGTCGTCCTCCTGCTGCCGCTCCTCCCTGCCTCTCCGTGCTCCTCCGCTGCACGCGGCGCCCTCCGCGGTGCTCCTCTGCGCGCTGCGCCCTTCCGGCCGCCGCCGCGCCTGCCCTGCCGCTGTGCGCAGCCCCAGCCTCGCCCTCGCTCAGGGCTTGTGGCCTGCCGGATGGCCGCAGTGCGCGCTGGACAGGTTTGTCGAACGCAGGCCCCCCCCCCCAAGAGAGAATGCTGGAGGCATGGGAATGGGCACCAACACCAATACAGGAGGTTGTCTCCAACGGGGGGAGATGATCCCAGATCTTGGCGGTGGTGGCAGTATTTCGGCCATGTGGGAAGCCAGAGTACCACCACCATCACCGAGATCGGGAGCATCCTCCCTCGTTGGAGGCACACCATCGATAATGGTGTAAGTGTCAGCCTAATGGCCACTCCTCGCGTGGCCCAAGAGAGCCCCAAGGGGCCCCAGAATAGCGTGGCAGGCTGGGGACATCTCTGGCCAGGGGCACACTCGGCCAGGCCTACGTCGGGCACCAGGACGGCCAGACTAAAAAAGCAAGTCCCTGGGGACGAGGTCCAGGGCTTCGTGGACCCAAGTCACGAGCAAAACGTCTTGACGCCGGTGGTATGGCCAGCCAGGGTGTAGGGCGCAATGCCTCGTCAAGGCTCCCCCCTTGCGTCGTGCAGAGCCTCTTGGCAATGCATCCCAGGGTTCATTCCCCGACGCATTCCTTCCAGTGCGGGCGACCAGCGGCCTTGTATCCTCACCTTGCTCCTTCACTGCTTGATATGGTCGGGCAAACGTAAGACTCGAGCAAGCCAGAACTCGGGTTTGCGAACATGTTTGACGAGCGCGTCCTGGATTTCGACGGTCCAGTTTTTGTGGGCTGTCTGCAGCGGGAGTTCGCGTCAAATTTCTGATTGGGTCTCGTCATGTTCATGATGACCCCATTAGGCTAAGCCGAGTCCCCCGAAAACGAGTCGTACGTCTCCCCGACATGAAGAAGTTGGCACCGATCAGAAACAAAAACAGGGGGGCTTCAAGCACATCCCCGAGACAGGCTCCTGGGGCGAAGATCATGGATCTCCCCCGGGGTGCTTCAGGGACTCTCGTGTGGTCACCTCAGCTGCTCGATGCGCGGAGGCGGCACCAGAGGCGCCCAACAGGGCTCCACGGCACCCCAAGCGGGCGCCCAGACGGCCTATACTCCAAATCCCTTCTGAATCGACCCCCCCCTGAAGAACCGGACGGACCCCCCTCCAAGTGCGACCTCATAGTCCGGACCCCCCTCTTCGACGGGGCGCTTGGATAACCCGGACCCCCTGAGCTCCAGCCCAAAGGAAGCGCTCCACTGAGCCGGACCCCCCCAGTCACCCCGACCCGATCCGCACAGGCAGAGCCCTCGCGCCAGGCTCGGGCCGGACGAACGGGGGGGTTTGGGAAAGGGGGGGGTAACGAAATTTGCTGCATGCAGCTGGTTTCGGCCTCGCGGAGGGGCCCATTCCTCGATACACAGCTGCCTCCGGCGCCGGGAGGCGCCGGGAAAATCAGCTATACGTGAGCTGATTCTCAAACCCCCCCTTTGCTATCCCCCCCTTTCGCCCGACCCGACAGGCTCCGAGCCAGCTGTCGCACCGCCAGCCTGCCGGGGTGGCCCCCCGCCCGGTGCTCTCTCTCTCTCTCTCTCTCTTGCCCGGCGGGTCGGCCGCCCGCCGCGCCGGGCCGGGCGCACCGAGGCTCGCGGCGTCGGTGGCGGGGGGAGGGGCGCCCACCAGGAAGCAGCGGCCCAGATAGGGGGCCACATGCGAACCCTACCCCTACCCCCCACGATTTCTGAGGGGGAGGGTGGGGTAGGGGTAGGGTTCGCATGTGGCTCCCTACCAGAGCTCGACACCGAGCGTCGCCCCAGGAACGATCGCGTCGTAGAAAAAAAAATCCGCACGCCCGGGAGGGTTTTGGCCATTTTCGGCCTCGGGGGGGGCGCTCGCCGGGCCTCGTGGCCGTTGAAGATCGGCTCGGGATGAGAAACCGGTCCCGGGGAAAGGGTCGGGACTTTCTAGGGACCCCGCATGCGAAAAATCGGAGCGTCGCATGTCTGGGGTCGCGGAGTGCCGTCGCGGTCCTGGGCCCCGAAGCGGCCCCGTTCAGATCCGCAAGTTGTGGGCAAGCCGGCGTCTCGCCTGTTCTGCCCCAGTGGCGAGAGAAAGGTGGGTCGTCCTCTCTTCTCCGCCCCCCTCCGCGGGGGTAGTGTCCCAGACATGCGACGTCTCGGCTTGTTCAATACGGGGTCGATCCCTGGAAGTCCCGACCCTTTCCCCGGAACCCGTTTTTCATCACGAGTCGTTTCGTGGCAGCCCCGAGGCCCGGCGAGGGCCCTCCGAGGCCGCCATTGGCAGAAAAACCTCCCGTCCTGATTACTTTTACGCCGCGATCATCTCTGGGCTACTGTCTGACCAAACCGATCCTGACCAGACCCACCGTGGGCGCAGGCCCTGGTGCATACGCCGACCTTCTGGCTTGGCCAGAGGGGTGTGCATGCAAGACGCTGGAAGAAGGAACCGTTCGTGTTCGGAAGGGGCTCGCTTTCCCGTTGGTTTCAGTCGGGCGAGCCCTTCTACTGGATTTTAAGGAAAATAGTCTGGGGGCGATTTCTCCAAAGTTTGAATATGTTTGAACATTTCTTGAAGATATTTTATTCTTCGTTCAAAATCCGCCTGTAGGATGACGTTAGGGTTGTTCCTCTAACCTCGTCGTGCACCCAGGCGCTTTGGGGACCAGCTCAGGGCTTTGATCCTTGTTTAGCCTTTGTTGCCCAGACATCAGACGTTATGTGTTTTCATTGCGGCGTCCCAGGACGTCCCCACCGTTTCGCCCGGTCTTTCATCGTGGGTCGTTTGCTTGACGGTCCTGGTGCCCGGCGAGGGCTCCTGGAGGCCGAAAACGAATCAAAACGACATTCTGCTGTATCTCATTACGTTTGATGCCTGGGCCCGGTAGGTACTAGCAGCTGGACTGCCTGCACCGATCCTCAAGGGCTCCCTCGAGGGCGCGAAGTTATTCGCGCTTCGCGGTCCTCGTTCCTTATCCCCCTCCTCCTCGTCCTCCTATTCTCCCTTTGGGAGGGCGGCGCGAGAGCGCGAAGTTATTCGCGCTTCGCGCTTCGCGCAGCGCGAAGCGCGAAGTTGGGAGCCCTAGGATCCTGCACCTGTCGGGGCCAGTGTCGGCGAGTCCGGCGGCGCACCGAGGGGGGAAGTGAGCGGGGGCAGGCCTTCTCGGAAGGCGGGGGGACTGCTCAGAAGTCTGCCGGCCCGCTGAGGATTTCTGAGAATCTAGACCTCCAAGATGGTGTCGGAGTAGATGGGGTCGGAGGATCGCGCCGCATCGCCGATGCATCGCCGATGCGGCTCGATGTGCAGCCCGATTTGCCTCACGTCGACGTCGACGATGCATCGCCGACGTCGGCGATGCATCGCCAGTGCATCGCCAGTGCATCGCCGATGTTTCGGTGATGACTCCGACCCCATCGAGGAGGCCTCTAGAGAAGTCCCGCCGTCTTCTGAGCCCAAGGCCAGAGCCCTTCTGATCCTTCTGAGCCTCCTGAGACCCTGAGATCGGCGCTCACCAAAAGATCGCGGCATCGCTCAGGTCACCGCCCATGTTCCCGAGCACGATCGATGTGTCATGGTCCCGGGGCCGCAGCACTGTCCGAACAACGCCCCGCCCGCCACGAAACTGCATCGCCCGGATCTCAGGGGCACCTCTGGGACCGGCTGTCGGAGGCGGATGGGTGACGTCTCCACGGACCCCCGACGCCATGATTTGTTCCTCACGTCGACCCCTGGAGGTCTCGACCCCTTCCCCTGGACTGGCTTTTCATCCTCAGTCGCTTCTTGGCGGCTCCGAGGCCCGGCGAGGGTCCCCCGAGGCCGAAAATGGGGAAACATTTCCCGCCCGGATGTTTTTTTACGATGCGATCACGTCTGGTGATGAGCCTGTTTTCCACCACCACCACCAGAAGTTGGAGGGGGGAAGGAGGAGGAGGGCAAGGAGGAGGAGGAGGACGAGGAGGAGGACAAAGAGGAGGAGGAGGAGGAGGAGGAGGAGGAGGAGGAAGAAGAGGACGAGGGGGGCTGGGGCCTCCGACCGCTCGCGAGCGCCACTGCGCAGGACTTCGCCCTCAACAGTATCTCCCTGGTGGAGGAGCACGGCGAGCCCTTCCCGGACGAGCTGTCGGAGCCCACGCCGCTTGCCGGCAGCACCCGCCCCCAAGAGGCCGCGGAGGACACGGACCCCGGACATCTTCCCGGACATGATCGCGCCGTAAAAAAACTATGAAAAGACGATCCCGGGGAAAGGGTCGAGACTTCCAGGGACCGCGTCCTGAAAAAGTCAGGACGTCGCATGTCCGGGTTCGCGCCGAGCAGAAATCACGACCTGAGGCTCTTGGCCGCCTTCGGCCTCTCCAGGGGCCCTCACCAGCCCCAGGGGCTGGGTCCACAGAGCGACCCCAGGGGGGGGAGGGGTCCAGACTTCGTGTGGGCGCCAGGTTGTAAACTAAACATCGTGACGCCGCATGTCTGGGAAGGAGGAGGAGGAAGGGGTGCCGCATGGCCCTCCCACTTTCCGCACCTTCCGGATGGTGTTTAATGATGGTGGTTAGCTTGAAGAGTTTCATTCGTGTCCATGAGTTGCATTGATTGTTCTGTGACCTTTTCATTATTCTAACGCATAGCTTTCGCAGGATTTCCTTAAGTTATTGCGTCTTGGGCAATGTCGCCGAAACAGCGCAACCCTCGCGAGTTCCGTGGCCCTGCGGGTGCTACCGCATGGCGGTGCCGCCCGTATTTCTTCGCGCCCCTCCCTCGTCGCGCGGCCCCATAAGGGGGATCCACCCATCCTGGCCCCAGAGGGCACGACGGCGTGGCCGTCTCCATGCTTGTCATTGTCACTGTCGTTGTCCTGGCTGATGCTGTTTGTTGTGTTGTTGGCTGTTGCCCGATGTTGTTTCTTGCGTTGTTTTTCCCTACCTAGGCTCTGCCTAGAGGGTTCTTACCGTGTGGGCTTAAGGGGCCGGGCAGTGCAACACGCCCGGCGGTTCCCCCAGGATCCGCCCCGCGGTTCCCCCAGTGACGTTATCTTAGCTTAGCGTTGCTTATCTCATCTTAGCTTAGCTTATTTCATCTTAGCTTAGCATAGCATAGCATAGCCAATCATAGCATAGCATAGCACAGCGCAGCACAGCATAACATAGCATAGCATATCAGAGCATAGCGCAACCTAGCATAGCATCGCATATCATAGCTTAGCATAACACAGCGCAGCATGACATAGCATAGCTTAGCATACCACAGCATAGCATAGCATAGCCTAGCATATCATATCATAACATAGCATAGCATAGCATAGCGCAGCATAGCATGGAATAGCATAGCATAGCATAGCATAGCAACTACTGCTGCTTTCCTAGGGGCTCCAACTTCTAGGTAGGGTCGCACTGGGGTAATGTTTGTCTGTACCTTTGGAAGTTCCACTTGTGGTAGTTGATACTGTTGCTCCCAACCATCCTGTCGTGTTGGGTCCTCGTTTTGAAGAGACAGGGCCCCGCGTCGCCTTTCTCCCTTCCTCCTCCCTCATCATCTCTCCTCCCATCCATGCCTCTGCCATCCGCATGCGTTCCCCCCACCCAGTCCCGCATGCGAGCGCTTCGTGGCCCCATTTTGAGCTCCACTGTAGAGCCCAGTGGCGGAATCCGCATGCGTCCCCCCCACCGAGTACAAGGGAGCTCCACCGAAGGCCCCAGCGGCGGTGTCCGCATGCGTTTTCCCCACTCAGTACAACGTTTCGGGACCCCTCTGGAGCGGTGTCCGCATGCGTTTCCCCCACCCAGTGCAGCGCTTGGGGGCCCCATAGGGAGCTTCTCCGATGGCCCCAATTGCGGTGTCCTCATGCGCTTCCCTCACCCAGTACGGCTTTTTGTGAACCCGTAGAGAGCTCCACCGAAGGCCCCAGCGGCGGTGTCCGCATGAGTTTCCCCCACCCAGTACACCGTTTGGGGGTCCAATAGGGAGTTCTTCCGATGGCCCCAATGGCGGTGTCCGCATGCGTTTTCCCTACTCATTACAGCGTTCCGTGGCCCCATAAGAAGCGCCACTGAAGGCCCCAACGGCGGTGCCCGCATGCGCTTCCCCAATTCATCATAGCGCTTCATGGTCCCATGATGAGCTTCACCGAAGGCCCAGCGGCGATGTCCGCATGCGTTTCCCTAACACAGTATAGCGCTTCGTAGCCCCACAGACCGCTTCACCGAAGGCCCCAGTGGCGATGTTCGCATGCGCCTCCCCGCCTTAGTACAGCACTTCGTGGCCCAATAGGGGGTTCCATCGAGGGCCCCATTGAGAGCGTTCGCATGCGCCCCCCCCCGCCCAGTACAGCGTTTCGTCGCCCTGCGGGGAGCTCCACAGAAGGCCCTAGTGGCGGCGTTCGCATGCGTTTCTCCCACCCAGTACAATGGTTCGTGGCCCCACAGGGAGCCCCACCGAAGGCCCCAGTGGCGGTGTCCGCCTGCGTCTCCCGCATTCAGTAGAGCGTTCAGTGGCCCCATTGGGAGCCCCATCGAAGGCCCCAGTGGCAGTGTCATCATGCGCAGCGTTCTGGGGCCTACAAGGGCACTCCACCGAAGGCCCCAGTGACTGTGTCCGCATGCGTCCCCACCACCCAGTGCACCGCTTCGTGCCCCCATATGGGGGCTCCGCCGACGGCTCCAGCGGCGGTGTTCGCAGTGCGTTGTCTGCCCGCCGTGTGCGCTCATCCGCGGGTGACGTCCCCTTGGGGCAAGCTCCGGCTCGAGGCGGGCCACCCCGCGCCCTCCACCGCCCCCGCACCACTTGTGCCCGTTGGGCGGGCGGAGGGGGAGGGCTGCGGGCACTGCCTCGGAGGAGCGCACGCGAAATTGGCGCTAGCTGCGCTTCATCAGCACATGTCTCTTGGACCCTGCGGGCCGCTACAGGAGATTGGCTAACTCGCAGAAGCTATACGGAATAGATGCTATTTCCGTCAAGGAACAAGAGGCTCACATGAACGATCTTCGGCGAACTCCAGCAGACGTCGCAATGAATTGCGCAACGTGCAGGAAGGGCAAATGAGGCCACGCGAAGGCAATGTAAGGAATTATGGGTCTAATGAGTTCTCTGGGTATACACTGGCGCCAGCCAAGAGAAACGGCGTAAAATGTGGCATCCCCGAAACTGACCAGGCCAACGCAGATTTCACATGGTTGGTTGAGTGCGCAATGGCCAACGAGCGCGCGCGAAATTGCGCAGATCACACAATGGGGATCCAAGAGCAACGCCGAGCAAACAAACTTTACAGCACGGGGGCGCAATCGGACGCGCGGGGAGGGAATCAGGAATCAGGAATCAGGAATCAGAACAGTTGCGACGCAACATCACAGAGGACCTCGCTTCGAGCCTAAAGCCTTCGGTGGGAGACCTCGAAAGAAGCGATCGATCTACACTCGCCTTGTGCGGGTGATCAGATCGGGGCGGCACTGGCTTGCCAGAGATCGGAGCTGGTCCTCGCCGCAGGCCCCACACTCCTTGCAAGTCCATGCGCACACAGCCTTGGAAAAAGACAATAGCGTGAGGCCTATGGACCCATCCCGCGCCGACGTGGGCCCCACCCCCTTCATGGGGGACGTGGCAGCACATCATTGATGGGATAGGGGGCCTCGCAAGCAGACTCAAGCCATTCAGACTTGGCAGCTTGGGAGGAGGAGGAGGAGGAGGAGGAGGAGGAGGAGAAGCACGAGGAGCACCGCGCGCCTGTGTCGTCCAACGCGTGCGCGGTGCTGAAGGCAGCAAGCGCTGCGGCCGAGGGCGGCCGCCGAGGGAGAGGAGGAGGAGGAGGAGGAGGAGGAGGAGGAGGGGGAGGGGGAGGGGGAGGAGGAAGGGGGAGGAGGAGGAGGAGCAGGAGGAGGAGGAGGAGGAGGAGGAGGAGGAGGAGGGGGAGCATCGCCGTCGACATCGGAGGCTCGACGCCCAGCAGCGGACGGGGGCGGGCAGCGGCGCGCAGGAACAAACAAGGGAAACCTGGGGGGGGGGAGGGACGACATGAGCAAACGGGGACAGCAGGGCACAACAGAGGACAAAAGGGGACAACAGTGGACACACAAGCGTGCACAAGAGTAGGCAACATGATTCGAGAAGAAGACAAAGGTGGCAAACGTTGACAGCAGTTGACCAACAGGGAACACCACAAACCTTCCAACACTTTAAAACAATCCCGCAACACCTTCCGAAACTGCGCATAACCTTGAAAACCCTATAAACATTTTACAACAGTTGACCAGGCGGGGGCAAACGGGGACAAAAGGCAAACGCAAAAGTGGACAACAGTGAACAACAGGTGACACAAGTTCGAACGAGAGCTGTCAGTGGTCGCTTGGAAAGGGTGGGGGGGGGGTCGAACCTGGGGGTGGGCCCCCCACCTTGAATTTCAAAGGGGGGGGTTCGAACTGGCCCTCACCGAACAGAAAGGGGGCATGAATTGCAAGGGTGGGGGTCTCAAGGAGGGGGATGTTCGAACCGGCCCCCCCCCCCCTCCCCCCGAATTGCAAGGGGGGGCGTTCGAACCGCCGCCCCCCCTGCAACCGACGACGGCGAGAGCCAGCGCAGGCGCCGTCGGGCAGCCACGACGACGACGGCGACGAGGACGATGCCAATGACGACGACGACGACGACGACGACGACGACGACGACGACGACGACGACGACGACGACGACGGCGACGTTCACAACGACGACGATGATGACGACGACGACGTCGACGAGGAGGCTCGATCCGTAGAAGGCTGCGATTAGGGCTGGATCGAGCCTTTTTTTGCGGTTCTGTCAAAGCAGGATCGAGCTCTAGCAGGATTCACTCAGAGCTGGATCTTGCTATGATAGGACCTCAGCAGAGCTGGATTGAGTACTATGAACCTCAGACCTCTCGCACGCTTGCTCGCTCGAGCCAGCGAGCCAGCGAGCGAGGAGAGGGACTCCCTCCTTCCCTCGTTCCTTCGCTCGCTTGCTCGAGCGAGGGAGGGAGCGAGCACGCGAGCACCGTGCATTCAATGTCCCGCCCGACTCGCTCGCTCGCTCGCATGATCGGGCGAGCAAGCGACGACCCTGCATTGAGTGTCCCGCCCGCTCGAGCCGAGCCTCACTTGCTTCAGCGAGCGACCGAGCGAGAGGAC